AGCAGTCTTTTTGAAGTGAGGTTAAAGTTACACAGAAGTAAATTATACTAGGAGCTTAAAGAAGAATTTTGTTATGTGACTTCAAGAACTCATTGACTCAGATAGTTTCACACACTGCAGAACGGCAACCAGTGACAGATGAGGTAATGCTGCTTTGAATTACGATTTAAATCTCAAAACCACTAAGAGTTTGCTACTTAAATAATTCCAAATTTAGTAAATTGCATGTTCATGTGCCTTAAATATGAAGATATTAGATCCCTATTCTTAAAACACATAGTCTTACTTCTTATGGTTAATATATGTATTTACTTGGATAGAATTTCTTTAAATTTCATGCCTTAATGTGGTAGGATATGATAGTAAAAGCTGTTATATTTTTCTCTGTCTAAATCTGTGCCTGGTTTTATAGTGCCAGGTTTTATGTGTTGTTTCCTAAAGATTGTTTCACTTGTTAATGCTCAAATCTGTATCAAATGCCTTAATATGTAGGAATTTCTGGCTGATAATTGCATTTTAAGGTTGGATGCTTAGGTCAGTCATGCTTTTGGAGACTTCGTGCTTTATTTAAAGTAAGTTTTGGAAAGTTAATTTCACAAATGTATTCACATTCTTGAAGTGGAGCTCTATAGTGGAGTGTGTTCCACTGGATAATAATTTAGAAAAGTGTCACAAGTAAATTGGCATTGGCAAAGACAGAGTCAAGGCCCTGGGACCAACAGAAATTTTTGAGTTCTCCAAGCAGATACGATCTTTTGTTTTAAATATATGGTGGGACAGGGAGTCAGCCTTTTAACTGATAGAGTGCCTAATACTCTCTTTTGTTATAACAGTAAAGAATAGTGATTAGTTTGAGGCCAAGAGATTGTTTCTCTTGAAGACTGTATCCTGGAGACATGATATTTCTGTCCCCAGGCTGCCTCTCTCCTGAAATCAGTGCACACTTTCAGCCTTTGGATGTTTATTATCTTTGTAAATCTTCGAGTATGTATTATTGCAGTTCTCTATGATCCAGCTGTTCCCTTTTGTCATTACAGGTTTACGTAATACACTTTAGATATTCACACACAAATTAGATTTAGTTGCCTATTGCCCTTCCCTCCCATGTTTTATAGCAAAAATTAGGGAAATAAGAGATGAAAAAACATATGTGAGATTTTTCTTGTTGTTACGTAATAGGAATGAGAAGAGGAGACAGAAGTGATTGCTTCTTTCTTAAATTCAGGAATTGCTTCTGTGGATGAGGTTACTTATTTTGAATGAAAATGAAAAGATAATATTTAGTTGAAGGTCTTCATAAGACAACATCTTATTTCCTTAAGTTAAGCATCTAAAGAGTCTTTCCTCAGTCTAATCCCTGAAACAAAGTGGTATGGGCTTCGTAGTAGGCTTTCAACAAATGCACTGATTGAATAAGGTGACAAGTTAATCAAAGGGGAAGGAGTGCAATTTGATGGATATTTAGCAGTGATAATTTTGGCAAAAACAATAGATTTTCATAATCCAAACATATGTGATTCCAAGAGTTTCTATGGATAATACACCTAAGGTGCATTATAATCTTCATATCCTTAAAATAATGTGATAAAGGAGTACAGACTTAATCTTTCTTCTGACCAAGAGAGAAACTGGCAAGCTATCTTGCTGAGTCTGTTGATAGTTTCCTTCAACCTTTAGCACTGATTGATTGATATTAGGAAAGTCTATTTTTTACCCTGTGATTTGAGCTGTGCCTGAAACCAGCTCACATCATTCTATCAGAAACAAAGCTGTTTCTTTTATCATATGATCCCAGCATATATCCCTCCTGGGTTGTATCACAAGAATCTTCCCAGTCATTCCTGCCTGAATTCCCATAGAATATTTTAGGCATGTCAGCTGTTTGGGCTCTGATCAAGGATTTGATCCAGTTGGCCTCTAGCCTGAATTGAGAGTGTGTTTGAAAAACATAATCTTCAGTGGCAACATTTGGTTTCCAGAGTTAGAACCATCGCTTTGTGTCTTACCCCTCTTGGCCTTCAAAAGGATTTACGTAACTGAGAAAAGGTTTGATAGTAAAGCAGATGCTTTTATCAGTAAAAGGAGGGTGAAATTTGATGAAGTGGTAGAAAGATCATGGTGACGTATTTGGGTTTGTGGGTGTTTAAAAAGATTTGGGTGAGTGTCACTTACCTTATAGTTCCTTGTATCTTTCAGCTATGCATTAAGCTTCTCTCTCCCTCCCATCCATTAAAAAGGACCTATATTAGGGCAACTTAAAATAGGAGACCAACAGGTCTAATTAAGGGAAAAAGAAGTCCCAAGAAAAGGGAAAAGAAAAACATCTATCTGCATAGGAAGCCAAAAATCCAAAGACTGTTCCTATAGTAATTTGAGGGTAAGAAGAATTATAAATATAAATATATATAATATAAAACATAGTCCACCGTTAGTCGGTGGCAAAGCTAATATACAAGACTCAGTATTGCTTGCATTCTAAACATTGACTTTCATATATAGCTCATCTGTACTTAGTAGATAAACTGGTTAAAGCATAATTGAGGTACATAATCCCATTAGAAAAATAAAGTGTTAATCTACAGTGTTATAGAGATAAGGAGCTAAATACCAATACTGGCGTTAATTCTTAGGATTTAGTTCTCAGGAACTAAGGGTTTTATAGAGCTAATCTAGTGTGCATAACACACTAAGATAAGTAGTGATTTTCATATTTTTCAGAAGATTAATCATTCTTAATTTAAGGGTCTATTGATTTTAAGTTCTTGATTAAAATATTTCTAAGCAAATACTTGATTTTTGGTCTGCATTTAAAATTGGTACATACATTCTGAGATGAGAGGAAAAGTTTTCTGTTAAAATTTGAAATAATAAAAAAAAATTTGAAATAGTAAATGAGTTGCTGAAGAGTCATTACCCAGATTAGTGGTTCCCAAACTCCTCAATATTCCATCAGTTAAAATGTAGAACATTCATCCCTTCATGTACTATTGTCCTTATTTATATATAGTAGAAAACATATACAAATTAGGCGTATTTAAATGATGAAATAAGTATCAGTAAAAGTTCTGATGTCTTCTTTTTGTACCCAGTGATGTCTTCTGCATCTACTGGTATAGTCACTCCTCTTTGGAGATTAGTGACCTACATCATAAATAGGAGCCCAGCTCAGGCATCTTATTTTTTTAAGAAGTTTTCTAGGTGACTTGTAGCATTCTCATTTCTCATAGTTACTTCTAAAATGAAGGCAAAGAAAAGGTTTGGTAATAAGAGGATAAACCATTCAATAATTCTGGCTGTTGAGCTGGAGATGAGTTGGAAAGGATGTGTGTGAGTGTGTTTTTAAGAGAGGGGTGGGGGGCAGAGGGAGAGATTAGGAGGGAGAGAGAGAATCCCAAGCATGCTCCATGTCCAGCACGGACCCTAATGTGGGACTTGATCTCACGACGTGGAGATCATGACCTGAGACGAAATCAAAAGAGTTGGTCAATTAACTGACTAAGACACCTAGGTACCCCAAAAGGATACTTTTGTTTTCAGAGATGATTAAAACTTAGCCCAAAACATCATCATTTGATGATTTACCATTCTGTTATACATTTAGTTTTCCCTAAATGTATAATGTATCTTCAAAAGTGATCTTTCTGAAATTTGAATCTGATTATTTCATTTCTTCAAAATCTGATAATTTGTCCTTGCTTGCACAATAAAGTCCAAACTCTAATGTGGCATACAGAGTCTTTATGATTTTAACTCCTACTAACCTTTATAGCTCCATAGCTGTTATTGCCCCTTCTCCCTACCCCTGCCCTTCTGGAAAACCTCCTTTTGCAGAAACAATCAGAAAAGCAAAACCAAAGAAAACTCCTCAGCTCCAGCTGTAGTAAATGTTTTATAGTTCACTGTAAACCTTGTCCTTGCTTGGTTATTCTGCCTGGATTGCCTTTGTCGCTTTGTCCAATTGGAACACTTCTACTGATTGCTTAAGATTCAGCTCATACATCTCTTCTAGTCTCTAAGGAAGTGGTATTCTTTCCTCTGTCTTATTTTGTAGCATTTATTGAGTTGTTAAAATTATTCGTGTGTAAGTGTCTCTCCTACTAGGCTGAATTCCTCAAGGATAGAGATTGTAAATGAAAATAGAAGTTCCATAAGGGCAGGTGCTCTTATTCATTCACTGCTGTATCATGTACCTTGTTTGGGATATAGTGGGCATTAAGTGTTTGAACAAATCCGTTTATGTTTATGTGTTTAGTATCTGGCATGTTGTAGGTTTTAAATGAACACTGTTTAAATAAATTATAAATGAATGAATATATTATAAAACCTCAAAAATAAGCTTGTCTTGGGGGTCAGACTTCGAAAAAGAGAGCTGATTCTCTGAAGTCTTTAGCACATGGCACAGTAAGAAAATACATATATTTCCATATAATACCTGATTTCATTTATAAGAAGGACTTGAAGAATTTTAGTTATGAATTTCTTTTAAGATTAAAAAAAAATTTTATTTGTTTATTTGTCAGACACAAGCAGAGGGAACAGCAGCTGGAACAGGCAGAGAGAGAAGCAGGCTCCCCGCTGAGCAAGGAGCTTGATGTAGGACTCTATCCCAGGACCCTGGAATCATGACCTGAGCTTAATGACTGAGCCACCCAGGCATTCCTTTTTTAAAAATTTCATTTATTTATTTGAGAAGGAGAGAGAGGGCACAAATAGGAAGAGGGGCAAAGGGAGAGGGAGAAGCAGACTCACTGCTGAGCAGGGAGCCAGAGCCCTGATGCGGGAGTGGGGCCTCCATCCCAGGATCCTGAGATCATGACCTGAGCCGAAGGCAGATGCATAACCAACTGAGCCACCCAGGTGCTCCTGTTATGAATCTTAATATTGGTATTTAAATGAAAAAATTCTAGAAAGATAACCAAATAATTACATTAAACTTAAGAATTTTGTGGGGGATTTGCTTCAGTGTTAATTGAGAGATCATTTTTTGCTTCTTTTTTTAGGGTGTTTGTGAACCGAAGTTTAGCGATGGAAAAAATAAAGTGTTTTGGTTTTGATATGGATTATACCCTTGCTGGTGAGTAGCACTTTTTGACTGCTTAAAAACTGCTTTAAGTATAACACAGTGGGTCTACAGGAGGCAATTCAGTAAACATTTATTTAATCCTATATTTAGCTACTAGAAGCTCTTGTTATCAGAGCTCCTTCCATTGATATTTATGAATATTGAAATTACCAGATATCCTTGAGATTTACATAAGATAGATTTACATAAGATGCATAAGTAGAACAAGTGCTAAATTATTTTAGAGTCCCTAGTAAGAAATAGTATGATGAAATTATATATTAATGTGTATATCAGGGCACTTTTGGCTTTACTCTCTAAAACTATTCTTCAATGATGGAGTTTTGTATCTTTTGTTCTACCCAAGGAAAACTATTTTTTTTTTCCCAAAGGAAAACTTTTTTACCAGTTAAAAATTTTAATGTTATTCTTAAGACAAATGGAAAATGTGTTTATTTCCATTGAAATGATTACAAATACACTATGTAAAGACTTTTTAAAAATTAGAGCTATTTGCTTTGTTCATTATCGGATAGACTTTAAACACAGCGCATACTGTTTTTCCCTTCCTGTCTCTGAGATATATTTGAAATCATCAATGGATTAGCTAATATTTGCAAGATCTTTTCAGAACTTACGAAGTTTTTATTAAAAATTCCTTGATTTTGATGTGAAAATGTCACTTAAGTATTAGAGATGAAGGACTGAGTTGAGTGCATGTGTATATCTGTATGTTCATGCATGTGTGTATTGTCATGACACTTGAAAGAGAATCTTTCAGAAATTTTCTCTAAAAAAATAACTGTCTTTACACAAAAATGTTAAAATGTATAAATTTACTTATGTTCAGAAACCTCTTATAACAGTATTAGAAAACTGAGACCCATCTCAAATTAGATCTCAATTTGATGTTCAATTTAGGCTAATATAATAATATGCATTATAACATATGAATGTATTATAAATGTATGTAAATATGTATTGTAATAGAATAATGCAAAAATGAACACATGCAGTTTATAGGTCGTTGTCACATAGCTGTGGCCATGCTATGTACCAAACAAGTTATATATTAAAAATATACACTGACTTGGTTTGCATTTCCCATTCTTCCCTCCATACCCTTTGTTGTTTATTTCATTTTCTATTGCCTTAAAGTTGTTTTTGCTGCATTTTTATTCTTACATATTTTTCTAATTGGACACAGTCACTTTTAGGACCACTTCTCAGAAAGGAAGTTGGAAGTACTGTACTTTCTCAGGGTAGATCTTTCCAGATTGGGAGAAAATCCTACAGTCTCTCTCATTTGTAGAATTTTACCTCTCCAGTGAAAGGAATGGTAAGATAATTCAGCTGAAAGAGATACTACCTAAAGCAGAAATAGAAGTTAATGGGAAGAAAAAGTTAATGGGAAGAAAAATAACCCCTTGGTTATTAAGACATTCTCATTGTATTGAGGTTAGTATTTACTGAAAACCTGTGGTGTTCAGGCACATTTTGTTACTGAGCATTGAGATAACCACATATTCCTGCAGAACAATGAAAAAATGAATTCTCTTGTTTAATGAGAAAGTCACTGAAAAGTCTCTACACTTTAAAGATACCTTATGATTGCTTCTTTTCGCTTGTTTTTTAAATCCCACTTCATATTTTAATACTTATTACTCTTAGTGAAGATACTAATATACTTTGCTTATATATAAATATAATAATTATTAACATTTATTAAGTGCTTATTATGTGCAAAGGAAGTCCTGTTCTAATAATATATTATCTCACTTAAAACATGGATTATCTCATTCATGCCACTTATTTAATATTTACAAAAACTCTGTGAGGCAGATATTATTGTTATTGAGGCAGATGTCATTTTACAGATGATGCTGGGACACTAAGAACTTTGTCCAAGGGTGTTTAACTTTGATGTAGCTGAACTGAGATTCAAATCTAAGTATACATTTATATGTGTATGTGAGTGTATGCATACCTGTATATATTTTATATATATATATATTGAAATTATACCACACTATAAACTGTCATTGTTCAAAATGATAATTTAAACTTACTATAATATATATTATTATGGTAATATTTATAAATATGGTATTATAAATATATAATATTTATAATTATGGTAATATGGTAATATATAATATATATTATTATGGTAAGTTTAAATTATCATTTTGAACAATGACAGTTTATAGTGTGGTATAATTTCAAAGTACTGAGCTCCCTTCCTTAAACAACCAACCAGGACTTAAGCACTCAAAAGGGTAATGCCCTTTAAAGGAGTCCCCCTTGAGAGACTATACATTATTTCCACAAATAGTGTTGGATGAAAAACATTGTTAGTCCTCTTATGGTACTACCATCACTTCATAAAGCACATAGGGAAACAAGTTTATTGGCTTATACTCTCTCCTGTTTCCCAGAATAGTATTCATTAAATTTATCTGAGAATAACTTTTGTTATTTAAAAAACAAACCACACCCATGAAGTGCTAAGGACTTTTCATCAGAAAATGTGCCCTGAAGTACAGAGACAAGATTAAAAAGTGTTTTTTGAAAGCTTTGAGTATTTGGAATAAACATCCCTGGAATAAATGTAATAGCTTCACAGGATAAGTTCTTGGAAAGAGTCTGTATTTGTTCTGAAGCCTCATGTGAGACATTGTCTTCTCTGCAGTCATGACACCTTGGTACATCATTTCCTGATAGCAATTTATAATTTTTAAATTTTTTTATAAACATATAATGTATTTTTATCCCCAGGGGTACAGGTCTGTGAATCACCAGGTCTACACACTTCACAGCACTCACCATAGCACATACCCTCCCCAATGTCTGTAACTCCCCCTCCCCCCAGCAACCCTCAGTTTGTTTTGTGAGGTTGAGTCACTTATGGTTTGTCTCCCTCCCAATCCCATCTTGTTTCATTTATTCTTTTCCTACCCCCCAAACCTCCCATGTTGCATCTCCACTTCCTCATACCAGGGAGATCATGAGGTAGTTGTCTTTCTCCGATTGACTTATTTTGCTGATAGCAATTTATATATCATTTGCAGCTTTTGTTTGCTTGCCTGTCTCCACATTGGCCTGTGAGTTCTTCAAGGGCAAGGGCTTTCTTTTTCACTTCTATATCCTATGTGTTGCCTAAAGCCTGGCATGTAGTAGGTGCTCAGTAAATATATATTGAATGAACAGTTTGGGTACCTAAGTTTTAATAAATCAGTGTAAGAATTAATCACTATATTTTATTAAAATAAAAACTTAGATGAATTAGTTAAAAACTGTAAGAAGAATAAAGACTTTAATGTGAGACCTGAAACCATAAAAATCTTAGAAGAGAGCAGAGGCAGTAGTTTCTTTGACATCAGGCGTAACAACTTTTTTCTAGATAGGTCCCCTGAGGCAAGGGAAACAAAAGCAAATAAACTATAGAAACTACATTAAAATAAACTTACGCACAGCAGAGAAAACAGTCAACAAAACTAAAAGACAATCTACTAAGTGGGAGAAGGTATTTGCAAATGACATCCAAGAAAGAGTTAGTATCTAAAATACATAAAGAATTTCTAAAGCTCAATAATCTTATTAAAAATGCAGAGAACAGCCATTTCTCCAAAGTAGACAAAAGATGGCCAACAGACACTTGAAAAGATACTCAACATCACTCATCATCAAGGAAATGCAAATAAAACTACTATGAGGTATCACTTCATGCCTGTCAGAATGGCTAAAATCAAAAACACAGACACAACAGGTGTTGGCGAGGATGTGGAGAAAAAGTATCCCTTGTGCACTGTTGGAGTCAGTGCAGACTGGTGCAGGCAGTGTAGAAAACAGTATGGAGCTTTCTCAAAAAATTAAAAATAGAATCACCCGATGATCTAGGAATTGCATTACTGGGTATTTACCCAAAGACTACAAAAACACTAATTCAAAGGGATACTTGCACCTCTGTGTTTATAGCAGCATTATTTATGATAGCCAAATTAGAGAAGCAGCCTGACTGTCCATTGATTGATGACTGGATAAAGAATATGTGATACACATACATACACACAATGGAATATTATTCAGTCATAAAAAAAGAATGAAATCTTGGAGTTTGCAGTGAAAGGGTGGAGCTTGAGAGTATGATGCTAAGTGAAATAAGTCAGTCAGAAAAAGACAAATACCATATGATTTCACTCATGTGGAATTTAAGAAACAAATGAGCAAAGGGGAAAAAAAGGAGAAAGAGAGATAGAGAAACCAAAAAACTCTTAACTATAGAGAACAGACTGCTGGTTACCAGAGGGGAGGTGGGTGAAGGAATGTAAAATAGGGAGTGGGGATTTGGGATTACAGTTATTGTGATGAGCATCAGGTCATGAAAAACTTAAAAATTAATTAAAAACTATTTAAAAAAAGAATCACTGTATTTGACTTTAGCTTGTATAAAATATGCACTGTTCAAGTGAAATACTTCATAATATGAACTTATTTTTTGAATTTTAATAAACATTGAGGAGTAAGTTACATACAATAAAACATGCATTTTAAGTATATAGTTAGTTAGACAAAATGTATACACATGTGTAACTACCACCACAATTAAGATAAGGAATATCTGGGGTGCCTGGGTGGCTCAGTGGGTTAAGCCTCTGCCTTCAGTTCAGGTCATGATCTTAGAATCCTGGGATCAAGCTCCCCATCGGGCTCTCTGCTGGGTAGGGAGCCTGCCTCCCCTGTGTGTCCCCTCCCCCTCTTCTCTGCTTTACTTGTTATCTCTCTCTGTTTCTGTCAAATAAATAAATAAAATCGTAAAAAAAAAAAAGATAAGGAATATTTCCATCACTCCAAAAAGTTCCCTCATTGCCTCTTTGAAGTCGTTCTCCCTTTTACTCCACCTTTGCCTCAGGGCTTTTTGTCGCTGTGGATTACTATAGTATGCCCTTTTCAGAATTTCATATAAATGGAATCATCCAGTATGTACTCTTGTGTTTGACCTCTTTTGCTCA